ATGGCGCGCCCCCATTTGAGGGAGAGGGTGGCGAGCCATGCATGCCTACGCGGGCGACGTGAATGCCACCTGCGCCCTCGACCGCCAGGGCACTCAGCCGCCTGGGCTGGGCTGGAAACGCCGCAGTTGTCTCCACGCTGGGGTTCCCTCATGGGTTCGTTTGCAACCGACACTTCGGGCGTGCGCGCGGGCTCAGCGCGGGCTCAGCGCGGGCTTGGCGCGGGCTCGCGGGCTTGGCGCGGGCCTGAGGGCTTGTTGGGTTCAGCGCGAGCTCGCGCCGGGTTTTCTAGTATATCATTGGAGGGGGCACCTTGCAAACAAATTTAGAACCACAAGCAAACCAGTAACCAGTGTGGCTCGAATTAAGGGCATGTGGCATACGTATGTTGTCAAGCGCTTGTGCAAACATGTGCATTTACACGTGTTGTACAAGCACATCCAGACATTTGTACCTGGACACATGTACCTACACAAACGGACATTCTGACCCGTGCACTTTTAAAGGTTGCAATACAAAAACATATACACAAGTGCGCACACAGTTGAGAAATACAACTGGTGTTGATACACTGGTGTCAATGCACTTGTGTTGCCACCCTCGTGTTCACACTCTTATGTTCAGACTCGTGTTTCTTCCGGTGGAGGTTTCTACTCTTATGTTGGCACCTTTATCTTCGTTGAAACTTTTCCCTGTTAAATAATTCCCTTCTTTTTACGTTCGTGCCTTTATGTGCTAATGCCCTCGCGTACAAAACCTGTTATGTCAATGACCCTGGCTGTGTTTTTCTCCTGTTGATGTTCTGGTGTTGATCCACCGGTGTATGCCTAGCTAGCATCAAGAGATCGTGTGTAAAGAGACATCTCATGCATGTTTGATTGAGGCTGAAGAACCTGTCACGCATGTTTTCGGGGAAAGCGTGTTGACTTCCAAACCAGGCGCCCTGGTTAGCAGTGTTGGCGTATGTGATATATACACTTGTATGGTTATGTACGTGCGAAAATAGCATTGATGAAATATTTTCGGAACGTAGAAGTACACACATTATGCACATATGCATCTATACATATATAAATGTATGTGCCCATTGACACACAGGTATATTTGTATATAATCGTGCACATATACTTGTATTTGCATGTTTTTTTAAATATTCAAGAACGATATATAACCCCCACCCCAGGCACCATCGAAGCGGGTAAAGGGGGGAGGGGGGATTCCCAAAAAATGTAACTTGTGGCTTGGCACGTGCGTACTTAGATACTACCACCCCCCTAGGGTGCGTCGGCAGATCGAAGGGCTGGGAGGGGGTCTGGAAAATGTAACTTGCAACTTGGCAGGCCTGAACTTATATGTTTAACTCCCCGTAAGGTGCCTCGGCAGATCGGAGGGCTGGGGGGGTGAACAACAGTTGGAACAGCAGCTGGTCAGAGTCATCACCGACAAAGAAGAACAGCAACACACACAAAGTGAGACCCAAAAGGAAGGATGCCAAAACAAAACCCACACATAGCAGAGCATAATCACTGCTATGTTGTTGCCCTGTCTGCTTGTCCCTTCCTAGAAAGAAAAAATGAGGTTGGTCAGGGTCATCATCAACAAAGAAGAACAGGAAACACACCCAGAGCAAGAAACAGGAACATACATGTTCCCACTCAAGGCCCCAAAGAAGGGCAACAAAACGAACCCAAACATAACAGGATCAGCCACACAAAGGAAGGGTGCCCGCCCTCTACGCCGTGGGCCAGCACGCCGCCCTCCTCGAGGCCCACTCTGCCCTGCAGCCCGGGGAACACCTCTACGCCTACTTGGACGATGTGTACGCTACTTGCGCCCCCGATCGGGTGGGCGCCGTATTCGGCGCGCTCCGGGCCGCCTTACGCGACCGCGCCAACGTGCATGTGCACTTGGGCAAAACCCGGGCCTGGAACGCCGCCGGTGAAGAGCCCACCGCGCTCTTGGATGCGCTGCCTCCTGACGCCCGGCCCACTGCCTGGGCTGGCAATTGGGCTCAGCCACCCGATGCCCAGGGCCTCGTCGTGCTGGGCACCCCCCCTTGGCAGCCCCGCGTTCGTGGCCAGCCACTTGCACGACGTGCGCGCCCGCCACGATCTGCTCCTGGACCGGGTCCCAACGGTCCCCTGCTTGCAGTCGGCGTGGCTGCTCCTCCTCCTTTGCAGCCTCCCCCGCTGCAACTACCTGCTGCGCGCCCTGCCGCCGGCAGACACGGGCGCGTTTGCCGCGGGGCACGACGCCGCCGTGCTGCAGTGCCTCACTCGGCTGCTCGGGGCACCAGCGAGCGCCCCCTCCGCCCTGGCCCCAGGCCCTGTCTCCCAGGCCCAGCTCCCCCTGCATATGGGGGGGCTGGGGCTGCGCTCCGCCCTGGCGACGCGCAGCGCCGCGCACTGGGCCTCTTGGGCCGACTCGCTCCCCGTGATCGGCGCGCGGCACCCCCTCCTCCTCGCGCGGGTCCTCCCCGAGTTGGCCGCCGAGCTTGGGGCACCGGGCCTGCCCGGCACGCAAGCCGCCCGCCTGGCCGCGGCCGCGCTGCACACCCCTGGATGGGCGCCGCCATCATGGGTCGCGCTCGCGAGTGGCCTGGATTCCGGAGCCGGCGCTAGTTTCGGCGACCCCACCCGCGGTTGGCAGCGCGCCGCCACCGCCGCCTTGGACAGACAAGCCCTTGAGGTGCACTTCTCTGTGCTCGATCCTGCATCTCGGGCCCTGCTTCTGTCCCAAGGCGGCGCAGGCGGCGCGGCGGCCTTGACGGTGCTCCCGTCGCGACCTGAGTACCGTCTGCCAGCCGAGCAGTTCCGGGTGCTGCTTCTGCGCCGCTTACGTTTGCCGCTGCCGCCAACGCCGCGGCTCTGCCGCTGTGGCGGTGCCTTGGATCCACTCGGTGACCACCGCGCCGCTTGCCCCACCGCGGGGGTGCTCGTGCGCCGCGCGGCCGCCCTCGAGCGCGCCGCCGCCGCGATCTGTCGTGAGGCCGGTGCGCGTGTCGCCACCAATGTCTTCCTCCGGGACCTCAACATTGGCACACCCCTCACCGACGGGCGCCGCCTTGAGGTCGTCGCTAACGGCCTCCCCGGGCATCAGGGTGCGCAGGTCGCCGTCGACGTGACCTTGGTTTCGCCGGTCGCCAGGGATGGCACGGCCCGTGCCCGCTGCGCCGCCGAGCCTGGGGCCGCCGCAGCCGACGCCGCTGCGCGCAAGCGCTGCGAGACTTACCCCGAATTTGCTCAGGCTCCCCGCGCCCGGCTCGCCGTCCTCGCCCTTGAGACCGGCGGCCGGCGGGGTGACGACTGTGAGCACTTCCTCCGGGTCCTCGCGGCCGGTCGTGCGCAAGCGGCCCCACCGTGGCAGCGTCCCGGCCTTCGCGCCGCCCTGCACCATCGCTGGGGGAGCCTCCTCTCCCTGGCGGCGCAGGGCAGCCTGGCCACCACGCTGCTGGAACTTCCGGAGCAGGGGGGCGGCGCGCCGCCCGCCCCCGCCGTCCTGGCTGACCTCACGCAGGACGCGCGCTTGCTCCAGTGTACATAGTTCCCGGACCGGCTTCCCGTCTCACCTCGTTGCCGCTGCTCCGGATGCGAAACACAAAAAAAAAAGGAAGGGTCATTCTAATCTCGCACAGCTGCTTGGTCTACTGTGCAGGAGAACAAGGGTATTCAATGGTGTTTGATCCCCTGGTTGCTTGCCCCCTGCTTGCGTTTCGCGGAGTCGCTGGTGTGTGTGATTTTCAGTATGCAAAAATAGCCAATATCTCAGGGGCACGCCCGAGCTCCTTGCAAATTCTGTTCCCTGCAAAACCTGAGGGTTTGGATGTTTGAGGTGGCCTCCAAAAAACAATTTTGAGGTTTCATGGGTGGTTTCCTGGCAAATGATCTCAAAAGTGGAAGTTACTTTTTGAGGCACGGTGGGGCGCTTACATTTTTTGACCACCCCCTGAGTCTGTGTTTGTCTGTTTTTGTTTTACTGTCTCAGGATGCCGGCTCAAGGTGAGATTTGCAGACGTCACAAATTGTAGCTTACAATTAGTCCACCTCGTGTCGACACACCGGTGTATGTCTAGCGTTAACCGTGCATAGTGCTTGAACCTGGCCATTGAAAAATATTTTTTACGGTCGCAAAAGATCTAGGAACAAACACATGCCAAAAACATAAACAAACGCGCAAAATTCATGTAGAAACATTTGTTTGTCTAAACATGCATGCCTACACAATCATACACATATATACAAGCATTTATGTTTATAGTCGTTTGTGTTATGGACGTGGGTGGTGGTGCAAATCGTGCAAATGGCACGACAACGAAACACTTCGTTTTTGTCACCCCACCCCAACCCCAGCTAAAAGTATGCTGCGGTTCACGCATGGTCAATATTCTAATGCCTCATCGCGCATCATATTGCGTCGCGCGTTGTGAACCTCGAGCGCCTTGTTGTCCTCGGCTGCCACACCGGCCGCTCCAGGAGTTTTCCCGTGTTTGATTGGACTCGTGCCCATTCGTGGGCCATGCTATCTGCAGGCTTCGCGTGGCTGGTTGCGCCTTCGCCGCGGCCTGCCCAGTTGTATGCTTCAGACCATCCTGTGCCCCACCTTCCCGTGGCTTTGTCGGTTCGGATAGTCCGTTCTTTTTAATTAAAGGCTGGATTTAGCAACAGGTAGTTTTTTTAAGGGAACCAGAAGTTAAAGATTGGGCCCGGGTACTGCTTGCTGTGTGTGCAAAGCATGTTGGGGTTGCTGGATACTTGGCTCAAATTTTCCTCAGGATTTGTTGTTCTTCGTTGAAACAAATGTTCTGCCAATTTTCAGGCCAAATTGTGTTCAGTTGTTCTGTGGGGTGGGGTTTTAGACAAGCAGTCATCGGCGCACGCCAAGAATTCACAAGGCGGGTCCTAGCCAGTTCGGCCATGGATTGTTGAAGGGCATTGTCCAGGTTCGGGGGGGGGGTGGAGTTGGATGCTTGCGTGGCCAGAGACAACGCTTTGTGCAAGGCCCAATGTTGCCAGAGCAGGCCCACGACCTTTGTGCATGGCTGCCGTGGATTTGTGGCACGGCAAACCTCCGGGGGCGCTCAGGTCCAACAATTGCGAAGGCTGACGCTCCAGATTTCCGCCCCTTGGGCCCGAACATCACGTTTCGACCCAAGCCAGCATGCGGGACCATCATTCTGCTGGTTGGCTGAGGGTTCTCCTTGGTATGAATCTTTGCGATTACTGTACTCGTTGCCAGGCCTGCCGGGCGCTTTGGAACGGCCATAGGGTGTGCATTGAACACTTGCTGTTTTCCGGATATGTGGGATCGTAAGGGGCTCCAATGGGTGTGCCACATAGTTCCGGCCTGGCCAGACGGTGAGGACTTCAAATCCAACTGGATGCAGTTGCTTTCAGTGCTTGCATGAATGCATGTGAGACGCTTGGCTGAAGAAAACGATTCCATTGAATTTCGGATGGGCAGCTGATGTTCTTGGAATCTTCACTTCATGGTTTGAACCACGCAATGCCATGTGACCACAGGAAGGGAAGCAAGTGGGATTGCTCGCTTCATCTTTATGACCAAATGCCATTGCGGCGTGTGGAAGCCGCGGCTTGGCCCCACATGGGGCGTTCGTTCACCAATTTTTGGCCCGGTTTGATAGACTCAGGACCTGTTTTGTTGCAACGCAGCGATCCACGCGTGCTCCAAAGGGGAAGGATCCTGGGATGCTTTCAAGTCGTGCTTGTTGAAAATTGTTGTTGAAAAACGTTCGTTCAATGTCAGGTGTTTCTAGACAGGATCGTGGGGTTGAAAATCATTGAGCAAGCTCCTTATTGAGCAAGCTCCTTGTGAGGAGGCGACGCGTGGCAGATTGCTGTGGAGGCCTTGCATGAGATGCAGGCAAGTAGGGCCGGGCAAACAGGTCGATGCCAGATTTTCGTGTAGCAAACCAACGTCTTCATGAGATGCCATCCGATGCGTGCGCCCCACGCATCGTCGCGTTGCACGGCCATCATGATGACAAGTGACAGGAGGCTTCAGATGCCGATGTGGTAAGCTTCAGTTCCGTCATCGCTGCCATTGGGGTAGCCCAGCATTGGCAACAGGCAATGGGTTGAGTTGATGACATCATTTTTTCGCTGCCGTGTTGCTGGGAATTTGGTGTGGTTCACAGCGTTTGTATTATGAAATGTTTCGTGCATTTTGAGGCCACTGCTGTGCTGAACCTCATGAGTGAAGGACAGGTTAGTGCGAACACCGTGGCGTACCTCAACACCATCACTGCTTACAAGATACCCGGTTGATTTGGAATGTCGACAGTGGACACAGATTCCACAGATTTCGCAGTATATACTTTTTGTTTGTAGCAGCAAACGGTAAGGTGTTTCATTGAAACTCTTCTTTGCAAATCCTCTCCATGTTCCTTGGTGGTGGCACGTGGGAAAAAAAAAACCGTCGGTGTTGATTCGTCTGCGACAAGGCATGTAGGGTGTTGTGACCCGTGCCCTGGCTCAAGGAAGAGTCGCTGGGAAATGTTGGTGGCTTTGCCCTACCATCGCGAGGCCAGGAATTGAAGGAGTTTCCCAGAAGTGAAGCTGAACAGGGTCAAATGTTCTTGGATGTTTTTGTTCTGTTCAATTTGGTGTCTAGTTGGCTGTGCTGTTATGCTGAGTAAGGAGCCTTTGTGCAATGCAGCAGCAGCTTCAATTCCATGGTTTCATGCTATGAACATGCTGGCCGACATGCAGCTTTGCAGGACAGATGAAATGGTATGATTTTTTCCATGTTTTGTTCCTAGTGGCAATAGCAGCGTAATAGCAATGGCCCCGCGGCCTCCAACGCAGTCTCCGTCAGTCACCATGGGTGAATGTGCATCCTCAATTGAGAGGTTGCATTACATGTGAGTCACTTGACGCTCGAAACTGCATGGCACAGAGGCGGTCCATGAATCCTTGTTGTCGGAGGTGTCTCCTATGTAAGCTTCTAGTAACAAGTGCATCGCTTCTAGGATTTCATACTTCAATTGCAGTTTCCTCCGGGCAGCACGTGCCGCTACCCCAATTCTTCGGAGGATTCGAGTGAGCCCAATCACAACTCAGGCTGTAATTGGATGCTTGGCCAAACCTTGTCAGTTTTTTGCACTTTTGAGTTTGAAAGCCTTGGTTCATGCCGTGGCCATCACCAACCAGCACTGAGGATCGTGTGAACGGGACATGCAATGGCTTCAAGCATTGCATGTCATGAGATCCATCCACACACTGCAGGCAGGCTGTACGACACTGTACAAAGATGGGACCATATGGGACCAAGTGTTGGAGGAGTTGGTATTTTTTTCTCCTCAGGTGTTTGATTTACATGGTTTTTTCCTCAAGTGTTTTTTGTTTGATTTAGCCACCGCCCGGAATAGTCTTTTTTCGAAGTGCAGCCACGCCTTGACGCTGAGGTTGTTGCCGACGAGAGGGCGTACAATGCAGCCATGTCCGCTTGCCAAAGCAGCTCTGCGTCTCAAGGAACGGGACCGTTCCAACAGCGGTCCGTTTCTGAGACCGTTCCAACAGAGGTTGATGAACTATAGTCATAGTCTACCCCAGTTCGGTACCCCAGGTGACGGGTTCGGGTCCTATTTACGGTCACTGGATACCTCTCTTGGTTGGATGTTTTCCCAATTGTTTTGGTCAGGAGCGAGCAGCCTCTTGAAAGACATGCGCCGGAATCGCATCTCTCAGAGCTGCTCTGCCACCTTGTGGTCGCTCGCCCGTCTTGGGGAAGACGATGCCTCTTGTCGCCACTCTTGGTGATTTTTTGCTAACATTTTTTGGCAATTTCTGGCGCTAGATCAGTCGAATGCAGGAGCTGCTGGAGTTGGAATTGCAAAGGTTCAGAACTGACAAGATCTGCACTGTGGAAGGTCCAAATGGCGACTGCCACCACAGCTGCCGTCTCCCGCGCAAGCTGTGAACTGCGGAGCGAGGTGCTGTCACCACAGCACTTGGCGATGTGCTGGTCTGAGTTCTTCCGTGTTCGGCTTCGGCCTTCTACCGTCTTGGAAGTCAAACCTGAGAGCTAGCAGCTACGTGCATTCCAAAAGAGAACCCTCTAATCAAAGGAGGCGGACAAGGCACAAGAGAGACATGGTGTTCTTTTTAATGGTGCCAGTGGCAGTTCTGCTGGTGGGCGTCAGTAGCTTTAGGGGTAGGTCTCAGTTCCAGAAGTTTTTCGCACTTGCTGGTGGCGTATTCTTGTCCGAATCGAGGCTGGCCTGGTCGATCACGGTTTTGGGTGCCTTGGCCGACGGTCGACTCGGTGCGACTCGGTATGTCTCGCGTTGGGAACCACATGGGGTTGTCTGTTTTAGCATGTCTAGTTTACGTAGGATGGCCTGCAACCTAAGAGCGATGGCCTCCAACTTGGGAGCAATGGCCTCCAACCTAAATGTTGTTTTGTTATGTTAGTTGTGTTAGGCGTGGCCAACTTGGAATTCCTGGAGTTGCTCTCCAAGCAAGCGATGCTGCAGTCTTCGCGCTTCACACTGGAGGATGGGCCGATGGGCTCCAAACAAAGGGTTTGTATGGAGCGAGACTAAACCGGGCCCGTTCTCAGAAGAATCCTTCACGAGCGTTCCTTCCTTAAACAGAAATCGTTTGTTTGGAGGCCTAGCTGCTAGTCGGTTGGAGGCCATCGCTACTAGGAGTTTTAGGAGGAGCAAGTCTTTTCCTACTGAGTTCTTTGCCCTTTCCGTCGGGGCAGGAGCTTCGTCACCTTCTTTGGGGCCTTGCAGCGCAAGAAGCGACCGAAGGCGTCGCTTTGGCCATTAGAGTTTCCTTTTCTGGTGTGGTTTTCGGTTGGTTTCGTTCGTTGCAAGGCGTCACTGTGGCCATTCTGCATTTACAACGGAACGCACTGCATCGTGGCTTGGCACCGACCAGACGCTCGCGTGGGTCAGTGCGTCGCGCGCGCTGCAGATGGGTTTGCTGGGTGGAAAAAAGCTGCACGTCCCAGATGTGTTTCTTCTCGCGTAGGCTTCCGCACATTGAATTTGGCACTTTTAGCGGCAGAGAAGCGGAAAGCCATGGAGGACCGCGGCAGAGAAGTTCTTTTTTTGGTAGACAGAATTGCAAAAACCATGTGCCACTGGTATTTTAGTGTTTGATGCGCTCTTCCTTTCAGGATGACATATTGAACATTCTGTGGGCGAGCAATTTTGCAGGCTCCGCATGTTTCGTCGTTCTTTTCCTCGAAAACATCCAATTTGTTTGCGTTTCGACGCAAAAGCGTCGTGTTGGATTGTCTACCGAGGTGTCGCATTTGTACTTAAAGCCCTCCCAAGTGGTGCAGGATTCCTTCTCATGCTACCCAAGTGCTTCAGCTTGCCGGACATGGGCACGAAACATCACGACATGTCGCTCTAACTGTAGTCAGGACCTGCTTCCGCAGTCACCACCGCCTTATTCACCGCCCGCTGCGAGGCATGTTGTCCGTGCATGTGCGATGCTTGGCTGAGCGGCTCTTCCAGCGCTTCGCGCGGTCTTTGGATAGGCTTGTGGAGACCAGTCCGATTCTTTTTCGGTCTGTTGTTTCTGCTTTTTTCCCGAATGCGTAGCGAAGGGTTCCCGTTTATAGTTGGGGGTCGTGTTTGCATGGCTTGCGTCGTGTCGTCGTCTCTCGTCGTCTCTCGTCGTCGTGTCGTCGTCGTCGCGTCTCAAATTTGCTGCCATTGGGGGAAGCTTTTGCAAGTGACTTTTCATGGATGTGTCACGTGTCAGTTGGCGCCGCTATTCCATTGTGATTTGCATGACAACGACATGTCGCGCAAGAAACGTGATGCATTTCGCTGCACAGGCGCAGCGTTTTGTGAGATCCGCAGGTTGCTGCGCAGTTCCATTGGGATTAGCGTTTGGAGATTCGTGTTTTTGGGGTGTTGGATGTAGCCGTGCCATTGGGATTTGCATTTCAGGGTGTGGCATCGAAGCTCGGTTTTCGTGACAAGTCTCAGCTGAAATGGCGACTTTGGTGGATGGGAGTGTGCTCAGAACGGGTCGAAATCATTCCAAACGTGTGGTGTGGTGCAAATTTTGTTGAAGCTCACATGCGATGATATTGTCACTTTTCGTGGCAGGCGCAGGACTTCGTGCGGGCTTTGAGGCGTGGACGTGCGATTCTCGTGGCAGGCGCAGGGAATCGTGAGGTTGCGAGGTGTGACGGAGGTGACATTTCGTGGCAGGCGCAGTACTTTGTGCGCGTTAGACGTGTGGACGCGGAAAGATTCGTGGCAGGCGCAGGGAGTCGTGAGGTTGTGAGTTGTGGTAGAGGTGAATGTCGCTGTCACATTGGGATTGGCGTGTGAGCGGATGTTGGTTGGAGGGGCTGGAATCGCGAAACTGCTTGGCAGGGCTGCGTGATGTGTGTGCTCCGGTGGGTGTTCCCGCTTGACTTTGGAGGAAGTCTCGTACGAAACGCTCGTTTTGCAGACTTTGACGTGTGAGTTTTTGAGGAAGTCTCGTACAAAACGCTCCTTTTGGAGACTTGATCCGCAACCCTCTGCGGAGATCGTGCGTGTCGAGTGTGCGAAATGCAGGCGAGAGCGCGATTTGTCCCATGCGCGCGCAACCCTCTGCGGAGATCGTGCGTGTCGAGTGCGCGAAATGCAGGCGAGAGTGCGATTTGTCCCATGCGCGCGCAACCCTCTGCGGAGATCGTGCGTGTCGAGTACGCGAAATGCAGGCGAGAGTGCGATTTGTCCGGTGCCCGCGCAACCCTCTGTGGAGATCGTGCGTGTCGAGCGCGCGAAATGCAGGCGAGCACTGGCGACTTTGTAGTACAACTTTAGTACGCGAAGTATCTGGGGAGCTGGAAGATGAGAACTGGTGACTTGGTAGTACAACTTTAGTACGCGGAGCAATCTGTGGAGCTGGAAGCTGAGAACTGGCGACTTTGTAGTACAACTTTAGTACGCGGAGCAATCTGTGGAGCTGGAAGCTGAGAACTGGCGACTTTGTAGTACAACTTTAGTACGCGGAGCAATCTGTGGAGCTGGAAGCTGAGAACTGGCGACCTTGTAGTACAACTTTAGTACGCGGAGTATCTGGGGAGCTGGAAGCTGAGAACTGGCGACCTTGTAGTACAACTTTAGTACGAGGAGTATCTGGCGAGCTGGAAGAGTGTCCCACAAGAGTGTCCCGCAACAGTGTCCGACTAGAGTCTAGAGTGTCTCACAAGAGTGTCCCTTAAGAGCGTCCTACAGGAGTATCCCACAAGAGTGTCCCACAAGAGTGCCCCACAAGAGTGTCCCACAAGAGTGTGCCACAAGAGTGTCCTACAAGACTGTCCACAAGAGTGTCCTACAAGACTGTCCACAAGAGTGTCCTACAAGAGTGTCCCACAAGAGTGTCACACAAGAGTGTCCCACAAGAGTGTCCCATAAGAGTGTCCCACAAGAGTGTCCTACAGAGTGTCCCAAAAGAGTGTCCCACAAGAGTGTCCCACAAGAGTGTCCCACAAGAGTTTCCTACAAGAGTGTCACACAAGAGTGTCCCACAAGAGTGTCCCACAAGAGTGTCCTACAAGAGTGTCCCATAAGAGTGTCCCACAAGAGTGTCCTACAGAGTGTCCCACAAGAGTGTCCTACAAGAGTGTCCCACAAGAGTTTCCTACAAGAGTGACCCACAAGAGTGTCCTACAAGAGTGTCCCACAAGAGTGTCCCACAAGAGTGTCTCCCAAGAGTGTCCCGCAACAGTGTCGCTCAAGAGTGTCCCACAAGAGTGTCCTATAAGAGTGTCCTACAAGAGTGTCGTGTAAGAGTGTCCCACAAGAGTGTCCTGCAAGTGACCCACAAGAGTGTTCTATAAGAGTGTCTCACAAGAGTGTCCCACAAGAGTGTCCTACAAGAGTGTCCCACAAGAGTGTCCTACAAGAGTGTCCCACAAGAGTGTTCCACAAGAGTGTCCTATAAGAGTGTCCCACAAGAGTGTCCTACAAGAGTGTCCCACAAGAGTTTCCTACAAGAGTGACCCACAAGAGTGTCCTACAAGAGTGTCCTACAACAGTGTCCCAGAAGAGTGTCCCACAAGAGTGTCCTACAAGAGTGTCCCACAAGAGTGACCCACAAGAGTGTCCTACAAGAGTGTCCTACAAGAATGTCTCAGAAGAGTGTCCCACAAGAGTGTCCTACAAGAGTGCCCCACAAGAGTGTCCTACAAGACTGTCCCACAACAGTGTCCCACTAGAGTTTCTCACAAGAGTGTCCCTTAAGAGTGTCCTACAGGAGTATCTTACAAGAGTGTCCTACGAGAGTGTCCCACAAGAGCGTCCCACAAAAGTGTCCCACCAGAGTGTCCCACAAGAGTGTCCTACAAGAGTGTTCCACAAGAGTGTCCCACAAGAGTCTCCCACAAGAGTTTCCTACAAGAGTGACCCACAAGAGTGTCCTACAAGCGTGCCCTACAAGAGTGTCCCACAAGAGTGTCCCACAAGAGTGTCAAGAGTGTCCCACAAGAGTTTCCTACAAGAGTGTCCCACAAGAGTGTCCTACAAGAGTGTCGTGTAAGAGTGTCCCACAAGAGTGTCCTGCAAGTGACCCACAAGAGTGTTCTACAAGAGTGTCTCACAAGAGTGTCCCACAAGAGTGTCCTACAAGAGTGTCCCACAAGAGTGTCCCACAAGAGTGTCCCACAAGAGTGTCCCACAAGAGTGTCCCACAAGAGTGTCCCACAAGAGTGTCCTACAAGAGTGTCCCATAAGAGTGTCCCACAAGAGTGTCCTACAGAGTGTCCCACAAGAGTGTCCTACAAGAGTGTCCCACAAGATTTTCCTACAAGAGTGTCCTATAAGAGTGTCCCACAAGAGTGTCCTACAAGAGTGTCCCACAAGAGTGTCCCACAAGAGTGTCCCATAAGAGTGTCCCACAAGAGTGTCCTACAAGAGTGTCATTTGGACATATGTAGTTTTTCGAACGTGTTTGCATTCGGGTTCGTGGGTTCCATCTTGTTTAGATCAGAGCATCTCCAAAGAGAGAGAGAGAGAGGCTTTACAGTTAAAAGGGATATGGATGGATGTGGGATCAACAGCTTCATGAGATGCTTCATCATGCTTCATGGGATGCTTCCAGTATGCTTCCACGATGCCAATGCTGACGTTTGCCTCACTTGCTGCTTCCACTTGGCCCGTGCCCTGCCGCATGCAGGTCTCCATCTCCTGAATCGAGTGCAGCTATTCCTCCTTTGGGAGCTGGGCGGCCCAAGATCGTTCTGGATCTGGACGATAGCACCCCGGCGACATTAGGTTGGAGGCCATCGCTCTCAGGAGCAAGGCCGCTACTAGGGGCTCCTGGCCATACTACTAGGAGCAAGTAGCTACTTGAAATAGGAAGCTACTAGGGGCTCCTGGCATCGCTACTAGGAGCAAGGGCGCTCTTAGGTTGGAGGCCATCGCTAGTAGGTTGGAGGCCGTCGGCCTCGAACGGGCACGTTCGTTGAGGAATGGTGATGTTGAAGCTGCCAAGCTGCAGAGTCCGATCGCTGCGTTGGGTGCTGCGTTGCACGCGTTTGGTTGATGGTTTTGTTGGTTCTTCCCTCTTCCCTTCATCGCTTCATTTTGAGAACGAGGCCTGCTGGTTGGGAGGTCTGTGACGGCAACGTTGGGCGCCAGCTGCGAGGACTCTTGAGCGGCTTCTCGACACTGCGCAGTGCCATGGCAACAGTCCGCCAGTCCTGGTGCTCTTTGAGTTCGGATTTGCTATTTAGGCCCCCGCAGCAGAAGGCTACCTTTTTTTGACACTGTCAAATGGGGATTCCGGGATTCCTTAGAGAAGCCGCCTCCCGGCCTCTCTTGGCCTCTCCTGGCCTCCCGTTCTTTCAGCTGTTTCAAGACATCCACAGATTGGCAGCTCTGTAGCTCATGCAGCTCTGTAGCTCACATCGGAAAGACGGAGACGCAGCTGAACAGACATGGGAATTCAGCTTTTCGGGTTCAAGCACTTGGTGTTTCCACTCTCGAATCCACCGACCTGAGAAGATCGATCTGAAAGTCCCTAGAACGGGACGTGTTTGCGCCATGCTGCGTATGCTTGTTGAAGCCAATCTTCCATGAAGGAGTCGTTGGTGTTGGTCTTGGCCATTTGTGTGGTAAACCTTCTGGCATCACTGGCCTTTGCCTGGGACAAGTTTCAAGCCACCAGAGACGGCCGACGCGTCCCTCGAGTTCATTTGCTCTCGTTGCTTTGGATCGCGCCATTTCTGCCTACTGGTTGCATGGTCTTGTTGCGCCACAAAATCCGCAAGAGGCTTTTCATGGTCTCGAGTGTTTTGGCTGGAAGCTTTCAGTCCATGGGCATTTTTTGGTTCCTCCGCTATCACCTCGACTGGCCGGCTCTTCTTGCTGGTGCCGCGCTGTTTGTCATTTGGGCCTTGGCACTCGGCCTCCAGTGGCATCGAGGCTGTGCATGTGAAGCTTCAACGCTTCACGCGCGGGACGTGGCGACGACGAGGGCGTGAGAATGGCGGACCAACGCATGGTCAGCTGAAACCAGCGTTTCACCTGGACCTCAGACCTCGTGAGAAGTCTGAACTCGATGGACAGCCGATGTGATGGACAGCCAACCCGGAGCCGGAACAAGGGTGCAATCTTGCCGAGCAGGTAAAAAGGCAGAGGGCGAACGAATTGCTCAACCGCCGATGCCAACCGTCGGCCTACGGGCGGGGTGTCTGTCGGCGCTCCTTACTCCTTACGACCTATCTTACTCAATGAAGTAGAGACGACCGACTGAATTAAGGGAGAAGATCGCTCCTAGCTAGGATGCCGGATGGCTCACTCTCGATGATTTGGTTCCTAGATTCTTAGGGAAACGATACATACATCGTGTTTGTGCTGACAGCCCCTTTTTGATTCCAAGCACCTTGTTTCGTGGAACGCGCTTGCCGGTGGTGTGGATGGACATTGGCTTTTGGGCCTTATGTACCCGTTCTCGATCCAGCCGCCCTCGCACTGTACGAAGATGATCGGGACCGGCCTCCGATGGCCTCGGCCCACAACAATTGTTGACCCAAAAAACTGCTACTGCTACCAGCTAGTCCAAGGAGATCGTCCTTTCACGTCACGTCAGGAGATCGTTGGGTTCTTCTAACCAGGCCCAAAGCACCAGGCGATCGGTTCTTTGGGATGGACGGTCCTTCCATCCCAAATGAAAAACAAAACTCAAGAACTCGGAAGTGGTATATTGGAAAATCAAGGTGGTATATGGTTTTGTGGCTTCGACATCCTATTGATTGTTTGCTTCGATTGTGTTGCCTGAATTCATCGCTGCAGTCATGTCTGCAGCGATGCGATGAAGAATTCTACAACATCATGTCTTACGAAGGTCCTGAAGAATCATTTGGAAATTTGCCGGTAAATCCATCTCTCCTAAGGCCCCTTTTGAACCAACATGCAGTACACCCATAGATAGGTCAGATAGCTTCGAAGACGAAACCAATCCAATGGCTTTGGGATAGACGATAGACTTCAACAACGGCATTGGTTGTTTTCGACGGTGGCCGGGCTGTGACTCCTCGAAGATCATCGGACGCCGTGATGCCGGGGACGCCGACCGACCCTCCTTTTCCCCCTCCCAAACTGAATGAGCAGATCCTCAAGTGGTGAGGTGGTGACTTCCGGATGAAGCACTGGAGTTCAGGTTCGTTCAGCGGCCTGCTGGAACCATCGGCCCATCATCTCAGGTGCAGACCATGACCATGGGTTTTTGCATCGTGTGGACGTGCCTTGCTCTGGGTTGAAACTTGGCCAATGCATTTTTCAATGGCTGATGAGTACGCCAATCCAAGCGATAGAACTGAGGATCCTTTTTGCCAAGAGCTTCCGGGCCTTCTATGATCTCCAGGCGATTAATTTTTGACTAGTGGAAGTGGAAGGAGTCGAAGGTTGTATCAAGTTACGAAAGCTGGGCAAGTCTTTCGCAGACAGTGGCGCGGGGGGCACTTGCGGAGGGAAGGTCGGCGCTGGTTGTCATGGTGTGTTGTTGTCACGCGGTTTGGCAGATGGCGCATACCACCACATTTCGTTTAGATTATACATGCAAAAGCGCATAGTCGGGGTTGCGGATGGTTGGCAGCTGGTGGTAGCCCATGGCGCAGTTCCATCAATAGAATGGAGTTAGAATATTTGGGGCGCATGCTTGGGGCGGCGCAGGCCGAATAACACATATTGAACAACCCAGACCCTCCATGTATGCTATATATGCCTACATTGGGGTGGTTTTGGGGGTCAATGTAGGCATATATGGCATAGGAGTGTCTGGGCAATGGATGTCTCAAAAGAAAAGTGTCGACCAGTGATTTCTAGAGGAATTTGAGGATCGACCAGTAGACGTCTCATCAATTGACCGCACAAATCATCGTGATAGACCTGGAACACCGCATCACGAACCACCAAATCAGAACATCATCACATGACATTATTCAATTTGATTCTATTTTTTTAAATTACTTCTTGTTACTAGTAGCTACTTGCTCCTAGTAGTAAGGCCAGGAGCCCCTAGTAGCGTCCTTGCTCCTAGTAGCGATGCCCTTTGTTACTGGTAGCGTCTTTTTGACCCTTCAGTTGTATGATTCTTTTACGGATAGAAACCTTGCCCATCGCCCCTGCCTGGATCTACTTGGCTGACAGTTCTTCTGTCAACTCGGCCATCGGAGAAGGGGGCCTCACGTGTGCAGGTTCAGCTGAGAGCAGGGGCGCGGATCTCAAGTGGATGCTTTCCTAACCGGCGACTGCTGAGAGCAGGGCGCAGCTCGTGTGACTCCGAGGAGATTCGCAGGGACTACTTGGTGTTGTGTCTTCGGCCTCAGTGAGCTCGATCGCTGGGATCCGACTCGACGGTCGGAACGAGAAGGAGGGTGTCCGGTCGGAAAACGTGAGACGCGGGACCGACCGGCGAGTTTGCGTGCTTTTCAGGTCATGGATGGATGCCATCCGACCGAAGCGTTGAAGCAAACATCGACACGAGAGGACCGACCTTGAAGACTTTTTTTTTGGGTTTTCGAAGGCTTTTTTTCCGATAGAAGAAGATCCGGGTTCTTCCACAGGACTGTTGAAATTTGCAGAAAAGCTACTATAGTATCTATAGTTACTGGTAACCAGGTGTATCGCTACTAGGAACAAGGTGCATTTCCTACGACCGTAGCTAGAAGCTACGACTCTCAGCTCTTTGCTGCGACCGTAGCTCTTGGGCCTCCAACCGACGTAGCTCCTGGCCTCTACCGAGCGCGAGCGCGTCCGAACGCCACTTCGTCGTTCGACCGAAGGAGATCCGACTCGGACTGGACGCCTTGGCAAGCCTTCTCGAAGCTTCATCAAGGCAGGTGCGGAAGATGCCTGGGACCCTCGAGATATACTACGTTACATCAGTTACTACCCCAAATGAGGCGCCCCTGAATGCCACTTTTTAGCCTGGAGGACTTGCTTTTGAAGTCTTGGTCTTTTGCCCAGCCCTCTTCAATTGGTTTTTGGTCAGGAAGTCTTTGGTCCAAAGTCTCGTGACACAGATCTTGAGCTGAGTACAAACTTTTTGTTGTTCTTATGTTTGAGACACCAAAAAACTATATATATATGTATATTGTAAGGGAAGCTGAAACAGTTGGAACTGAATAGAGTTAATCAAGACCTTGTCTTTGATCCAGAACGCTTTGCAACCCACATTCCTTGCGCTCATGAAGGCAGTTAGGTCCATACCATTTTTTGGGGTTGCGCACATGCAGTTGGCGGCCCATGCTCTTGGGGCTTTCGGTGTTGCAACGATGATCATTGCCACTTGGAAGAAAGCAGGGACATCTCCTCATACTTTTGCGCTCATTTTTTTTTGTTTGGGGGGGTCAGCTTTGCTTAAAGCACGTTTGTGAACCCTCTTTTCGGTGCTTTTTTGATGTGCACACGTTCGTTCCCAGCTGTGCATGTTCGTTCGTTCCCTCTTTCTTTCGTATCGCCAAGGTTCGTATCGCCACGGGGCGTCGTCACCAGATCCGCAGCCATGTGGCCTTCATTGGTCATCCGGTGGTGCGAGACGAGAAGTTCACGGTCACTGGGCACGGAGAATACGGAGGAAGGCGGTCACGAGCGATGGCCATCGCTATCGGTCGAAGAGCGTCCAAACATGTCCGAACGCGGATGAACGACCGTAGCGAACCTGGTTCCTTGTAGCGATGGCCAAAGGTGGCCCTCCAACCTACTAGCGATGCGGAGATCAGGTAGGTTCTGTTTGAATGACGTCTTGATGGGTTCGATGGACCTCTTGGTCTTTTTCAGCCTCTGTGCTTGCGCTTCAGTTTAGGCTTGGCAAACACAAGTGGATGATTTCCTTTTCTGTGACCGCGTCTTCTTGCACCGCTACTCCCTCATGTTCAAAGACAGTCGAGGAGAACTTCAAGCGCCTGTTCGGGATTTTGAGGGGTCCATCTTTGGTAAACATGAGGCTCCAACCTACTATAGCGATGGCCTCCAACCTAGAAGCAATATGGCCTCCAACCTACTTCTGTTTTTTAGGTAGTGAGTACTCCGAGCTTTTGCCAGCCTACTTGCACCTGTGGATTTCAACCTTGTCGCAGTTTGGTCCCGTTGCCCAAGGCTTCCACTAGAACACGAAGTTAAGACTTGGTCAAGCCTGCTTTTTGGTGGAGACATGTAACTTCACGTATGCAAGTGATTGCTGTCGTCTTGCTCAAATTGGTTCCAACTTCGCAGTGGACATGTCCTTTTGGCATTTTTTTTGGGGTGTGCCGCACTTCACACGGGTAAGCGTCGCCTCAGCGTGGCTTTAGCTATAGCACCGCTGGTGCGGCCATGCTGGGCCATGGCTGAGGCGGCGACGAACACTCTGCCAGCGGATCTGACCCTGCCCTTGAGCAAACTGACTCCAAAGAGTCCTCGATTTGCAGCACCCTTGCAACGCATCTTGGCAAACCTGCCAACAGCACTACTGTAGGTCGAATGAGTCAAAGCCGACGACTGAGGCTGGCAGAGTGGCACCATGGCTTGGGATGAAAAGATAGAACGACCCGATGGGCCTTTCAAGCTTTGAGTCAAGTGAAAGCTCCTTGCAACATCTTGCAACATGTTGCTGACGGCCTTGCTGTCCTTGCTGCTTCGTGACAACCGCAAAATTTGGACACCTGCACTTTTTCCACATCCTTGGCGCGCTCATCACTGAAGTGAAGCCGAACACAAAGATACTTTTAAAGGAGTCTCCTGTCCTTGTTTGAATCGATTCCAGATTTTTCCTGCGTGATGGAGCCATGTTCTCGATGTGGCCATTCAACGATGGAGCGGCAAATGAGGCCAGAATTGATTGACTGGGGTGGCATAGAGCGACCCAGACAGACTTGATCCTGGATCCAGTTGATCTAACTGTTTGAAGATATCCTGTAACAGCAGCTTTCTCTTTTCTCTTCAGGCCTTTGGATCGTAAAGGAAGATCCAGATGACGGGGACCTGTCAAGTTCAAGTTGGTCCATGCTATGCCTTGGTGGCCCAGAAAGGCTCGCCCAGTCCAAAGGTATCGTGTCAGTCCTGTTGTACGTTTTTCAGTGGTTTCTTCAGGTTTGCCCTGCTGTCCCGATGTCAACTGCAGGAGGGCGAACACAAGAGATTGGACTGTTTAAGTCGACTTGCCGGCGTCGGGGACCCCCCTTGTCGTTCTGCACAGGACCTGCTTGAAACCCACTTGGATGAATGGCAAAATCATCCACGAGAAGCAGCACAGGCCAGGCGCCACCAGACAGCGGCTTAGACCGAAGCTGGGGCCACTCACGACAACGCGACGACGTCGTGCTCGGACTGACCGGTGCAGGTGTGGAAGAAGCTGGCCCAACGCAAGCAGATTCCAAAGGCACTTCAGATCCTGAGGTTTTTGCACAAGCATGGGGTGGAGGCAAGGTGGTACGGAGTGTGGAACCACGACATGTGAGTGAAAGCCATGCTGTCTCAAATGCACCATGCGGCACGAAAACCACGACCATAGAACCATTCCTGTAGCTCGAGACCATTTGACCTCAGACTTTGGCCACTGCAGCATATCTGGTGCCCAATGGCTCAGGCTACGTTTGTGGAACTGAGGTTTGCAGTGTTTTTTGATCCAGGCTCCCGATGTGATCACCTTCAACATCGCAATTGCAGCTAGTGCCAAGGCCCTTGTTTTTCGCCCGGTTCTTTCGCTCTATTTTAGCCCGTCCTTACAGTGCTTAATTAAGTAGGCGCCTACTTAAGTAAGGGAAACGTTCGCACCTAGCTACTGGACGCAGGATAGCTCACGCACTTCATTTGGTTCCTAGATTTATCTGGAAACTTATCTAAGTTTCATTAAACTCTACAGAACAATATTCTTTCAAGTTGCTAGCAATGCCCTCCAACCTACTGGCGATGGCCTCCACCCTACTAGCGATGGCCTTGGGCGTAAAGAAAAGCATCAGGGAGCGAACTCACTTGGAATGTCCAGTTCTTCACCCTCGTGGTCTTAGACTCAACTGTCTACTCCCGCGGCTCCCGCTCAGAACTTGATGTTTTTCTTCTTTCTTTAGACCTGCAGGTTTTCATGTTTCTCTGTCTTTAGAACTTGATTCTTGATGCTTTTCTGTCTTATTTGTTTCTTTTGTTTGTTATTTTTTCTGTTTGGTCTCTTTAGTTCATGGGCCTTTCTTTTCAGGCAACGAGCTGGGAATCTGCCCTGGAGTTTCTCGAGTTCATGCAGCAGAGCCGAACTCAAGCGACAGTGATCACAGTCAACAGCGCCACCAGACTGATTCAGTGCTCATCACGTCGTAGAATTGGACAATATTTGTTTCATTTTTCTTGGACGGTTTCGTCCAAGAGTTGACCCCTGAGAGGTCATCAACGTCTATGAGAGAGCTTGCCAGTGGCAATTGGGTTTGTCTGTGACAGATCAAAGCCGGAATGCCGCGATGCAGCCCGATGATCCTGGGTTAAAACTGCCGTGCTCGTGGCGGTTGGTGTCGGGTTTGTGTGAAAACACTGAAAGATGCTCACAAATCTTTTCGAGGTGGTGACGATGAATTCCTGCGCCAGTATTTGTGCCCGAGCTGGCATGTGGCGTCATGCCCTTGGCACGCTGTGGCAGGAGAAAAAGCTTTGTCAGTCCTTGTCTCGCCATAGCAGGAGTGCGATCGCCCAAAGCAGGTGAAGGTCGATCCACACTTTTTGTCACGGTGTTTACGACTCAGGGGGCGTGGTATCTTGGATTCGGCCAGGAGATCTTTGACGACAATATCGCCATCAATGCAGCGCTCAGTGCCATGCCGCATCTCTTCAGCACAGAAAGGTGCTGTTTCGTTGACATTTGAGCATCCTTTTGTGCTAATTGGTGACACCTGAGGCGTAGTTCGTGGGCTGTTGCACAACATCTTTTGCAACGAATGCTGCTTGGCAAATCATGGCAGATAGGCGCTGGTATCTGCCAGCCTATCCACTACGAAACATAAATGCCTCACCCAGCTGCCGTTTGCCATGGGGTGCTTCATAGGAAGGGCTGGGAGCCCTCTGCCATTCGGTTTGGACCTCAGGTTCTGCTTGGAGGTGGAAGCAGACGGCTTCACATACAGCTCGCTATTCAACATTTCCCATTGGCAAGATGCTTTGCAAGAGATGTCAAGCATTGAGGTGCTTCGGGCTTTTGCATACAGACTGCCATCATCAGATTGCTTTACATGTAACTTGCAGATGCAACTTGAAGCAGGTTGGCTGCGATGCTGTTGTATACGGTGCCCTTGGCAGGGTGGATGGACAGACCACATATCCATGACTGGCAAGTTGACATGGTCGAGTGACTGAGGCGCAATGCTTGCTTCTGGTGGCGCCGATTGGGGGTTCTCCTTGCACAGTCTTCATTGCATGCAAGCATGCTGGTTGCAAGTTTGCCAGTACTGTCTCCTGATGAGTCTTCCTAATGAATGAACTCGCTTCTGATGTCTTCTAAGGACCAGCGAATTGCGGACTCTGTTGCGTTCAACTGCTGCATCGCCAAGCTTGGGCACTGGGAACAGGCGTTTCTCTTGCTGGGACGCTGGTCGAACCACCATGTGGAGACAACACGCAGCTTCCAACCTGCCTCAAGGGAGCGAATCGCGAATCGAGTGCCATTTTTTGCACTGAGGAAGTCTACGGAAAGAGCAAAACCGTGCCGTGTCTTGGCATGATGGGCCTTAAGCATCCTCAGCACAACTCAGCGGTTTCCGAGGATGCTTACAGTTTCAGCTCGGCTATGGCGTCGATGTGGAGATCCAGTTGTGAGATCATGAAACAGATGGAGTGGGGGCGCTTGGTTGTGCGAAGTGTCGTGTTTTCGCTTGGACAGATCCGGTGTGATAGGAGGCACGGCGTGCTCTCCAACCTTGTGTGCTCCAACACGGTCATCAGCAGTTTGAACGACAGCAGCCAATGGGTGAAGGCAGTGCTTTTGATGAGACTGGACCGCAATGGACCTGGTGCAGTTGAGCACTTTGGACTTCATGGCGTGGACATGGTGACGATGTGTCAGACTTACGACTTACCACTAAGGGAGGAAGTGGAATACGACACCACCACCTTCAATGCCATCATCAGTTCCTGTGGCAGAGTCTTGGGCTAGAATGGGCAGCTCAAACCTGCAGGACTGTAGAAATGTTTTCAGACAAAGAAACCCAAGCTCAGTTACTCCAGGTTACTCCAGGCCACACCAAAAGCAACACCCCTGGTTTACGCCACGACACTGAACAGCTTGCAGTTCGATGCGAGAAGCGGTTGGGGCCGTCCGCCCGTGGCAGTCGTTGATCCTTTTTTTCCACACCGCGGTCGTTGCACGCCGCGGTCGATTGGGAACGCCCAGGGGCCAGCAATTGGCAGATGTCATTGGAAATGCTGGCGCTCATGGGAGAGAGAAAGCTTCAGCAAGCCTTTCAGCCGCAAGCCTTGCTGTAGTTTTGGAAATTGAAAGCTTGAACCCTCGGAAGCCCTCTGAGGATTCAATCTCGTTTCATGCTGCCATCTCAGCCTGTGAACGGGGAAATTGCTGGAGAGAGGCTGGGGAGCTTTGTTCACCCATCACGATCGAAAGCTAAGAAACACGGTTGCTTTGGAGGCCATCGCTAGTAGGGCGGAGGCCATCGCTTTTAGGTTGGAGGCCATCGCTAGTAGGGTGAAGACCATCGCTCTTAGGTTGGAGGCCATCGCTCTTAGGTTGGAGGCCATC